CTGGTTTGTGACTTTATTTGATGGTCCATAATGCCTTCTGGTCCTATGCTCCTTTGTTTAACCATCATGTTAATATTTTACAAAATATCTGACTAATAACTCATCAAATACTCACAGGGTGAAATCCTGGCTACAAGGAAGTCACTGGAAAGCCTCTCACTGACTTTAATGACATTTCACCCTTACATTTCTGTACATAAATAAAGTCAGCATTTAGTTATTTTTATTCATAATAAGCTTCTGGATTGAAGAAAAGCTCTGTTCAGGAGCTATATATTTTTATTTTAGTATAGGCTGTAAGGTCTTGAGGCAGCTTCCACTGACATCAATGGGAACCTTTCCAATGACGTCAACAGCAACTGTATTAGGACCTTAATATCTAACACCAACAGAGATCCAGAGTCTTCCACATAACACAGCTCTTCTAGTTTTACTTAAAACTGACAGCAGCTTGCTGTACAAAAGAAATTCTTATGAGAGAGTGGGAGAGAGTCAGGCAAGATTTTAGATCAGTCAAAATGGTATTTGAAAAGGATGTAGCTAAATGCTTAAAACCCTAACATATTAAACTTTATTTCAAGCATGCACGAAGTTCAATGTCAGCATTGTCTAGCCAATAAATCAAATTGGTAGACGAAACTTGTTTGGACTAGTAATGAAAAGTTAGAAGGGATTCTCCAAGAAAGCCACAAAGCAGCTCATTTAAGGTCAATTTAACGGTATTATTCTGTTTTTCTTCCAGCCCCAACATAAGATTTCAGTACCTCAAAGGAAATTGTAAGAGTATCTATTTGCATTCCCCCTAGGTGATTGGCAGTTCAACACCAATTAGTTCAAAATTACACTGTTACTAGCGTGCAATAAAAACAACACCTTTCATCTTTCTTACATACGTAAGGATACCTTCTGAGCCAATAACTTTGATCAAGTAAGGATTTTTGATCCTACTCCACCCGTCTCTTTGGATTCAGGAAAACTAATAGCTAAAGGCAACTTTTTTTCTTTTAATATAAAAAAGTCCCAGCTTTATTCTTCTGCTGTAGGAGTGATGTGGGTAGTGAAACCTAATATTCTGGAAACACACACTTTCCTAAACTCAGTATTTCCTCAGTAGCTTAAAACTTTAGGACAGAGAACAGAGATGTTAAACCTATACAACTTCCTGTACTGTACTGAGACGTCTAAAAATTTACTTGTAAAAATTTATGAAAGAGTTCATTTTCATAGTTAAAATGATGTAATGTTATAATGAGATGCTTTTTGAAATATATGAGGCTTTATAAAAAATGTAGTCAAATGCAACATAATCCCAAATATCAGTTCTTAACACCAAATGAAATAATATTTCAAAATACTTTCTTGCTACATCACTAGGCTAGGAAGGCTGCTTGTTTCAAATAATCTATTAATTAGGAAAAGTATGTTTAACATTATCACTACTTAAAAGCGTTCCTATACCATGATTATTGCAATGCATTGTTTTTATTACTGCAAAGGCATCAACACTCAAGAAATCCATGGCCCCTAGCACACATTCAATTCAGTGCTGTGACAAGATGTGATCCCCACTTCCTGCCATGTCACACATGCATGGCAGGAGGAAAACTGTTCAAATCAGAGATCAGACCCCAATTGCACCATTACTACATGCCAGTTGAAAGAGGAGTGCCTGCAAGTCCATCCTGGCCAAAAGCTGCTTCACTTCAGTGAAGACTATATTTTACTTTAGCTTTTACTTGTGAGTAGTAAAAGATACCTCCTTTAGAGTTGAAAGACCAGAACTTCAACAATTTAGCACTTGCCACAGATGCATTTGTTTTAAAAGTACTTCATTAATAATTTACAAAAGGCTTGTACTGTAAAATTTTGTACTGCAAAAAGCTTCTTCAACCAAATACTATAAAAGTTCTTCACAAATATAATTCCCTTGCAACTCTTTATATGGTTGTGGCAATGCCACTCACAATGTACAAGACAGATTCAAATTCCCTCCTTTAGCAATTTTCCAGTTACCAGGAGAGTACCCAACCGCCAGGTTATAAGGTGTCCTAGGATGCCCTGAAACTGTTTTACTCACATTAAATACTCAAATACTCATTGAGAGAGACTGCAATAGCCTACCAGTAACGATAATCCCTGAGCTGGAACAAGCATCCCATTCCCTACTCCAAGAATATCTCAGAAGTCCATGCAAGTTGAAGTGGCTTCTGAGAGCAAATCAACCCCTCACATAATCTATATGACAGTGGTTGCAACTCTTTCCTACAAGGGGTGAGATCTGGGTTCATATTCTCTCAGGCAGACCTCTAAGCCATACTGAGATGGAGAGAGGCACCTTCACCACTGCCACCACCAACGCATCACCGTTCTTGTGAGTGGTACGTAATTCTAGCCTTTCATTTAATTTGCTTTAGTTAAAAATGCATGGAATTGGAAGCAAAAATTCTTAGGTTAAAAAAAGATTTAAAACAAAACTTCATTTCTTTCCATTTTGGCAAGAAAAAAAAAAAACACACAAAACAAAACCTTAAGCTCATGACTTTTTAGTCTAGCTCAAACCAAAACAAATCCCTTTTTTAAAATGAGGATACTATACTGAAAAAAAAATTGATCACTTGTACATTCCTAATTATAACACCTGTTTTACTGTATATTTTACTTAGGTGTTTCTTTGCAGTCTGTGGATTTTAATCATTTAGCTTGAAAAATGGCATTGGATAAAAAATGATGGTTCTCCTCTAGAGAGCTTACAGTCTTCCACATGCAGAAGACAGAACTGTTAGGAAATCCGGGAACAGAAATAATTTACCAGTGTTCCATTTTTAAATTAGGAAGATGCTCTAGCCTCAGAATTATTCTATTCAAATGTCTATGCATGGTTCTATTATTTTTCCTGTATTTTTATAGTATTCAGTAAATGGCCCTACAATATTTATATTATACTTGAAGAAGATAAGCACAGCACCATGTAAACTGTACTGGGAATAAATTATACTAACAATGTATAATATGGACAAGAGTCCCAAGGAATTATTAGCAGAAAAACCATAAGCCTTCTTATATTCCATTGGCAAATGGCTGCCATTTTTCTAACTCATGGGTGTCAAACATAAGACCTGCAGGATGGATCTGGCCTTTGGAGCCCTATGATCTGGCCCCTGGGTCTTGGACTAATCCTGCAGGCCATATGCAGGGCTGGGCTGGTGCATGGGCTGGACCCAGTGCCGTAGACACTACAACCAGCACAGGAGGATGGTTCAGGGTACGTATTACATGTGCCACCCGCACTGGACTGGACCCGAGTGCCGGCTCTGGGGCTGGTCTGGATGTAGGAACCAGCATGCAAGACCACTCCAGAGGGTTGCCGCATGCAAGATGTGCCCTGTGCTGGCCCACTTTGCCACGTGGAGTGCACACGGCCAGTTCAGCCCCATGCACCACATGCCAGCCCCACTCCTGCACACGGCTCAGATGCAGCCTGATCCAGGCCACACACTGGCACAGGTCTGGGTAAATTTGACGCCCCTGTTCTAAGCCACTCGTAATGGATACCTGAACAGCTAACAAGTCATTTTTCCATAAACAGTTTCTCCATATACCATAAGTATCATTTCTATGACAACAAATATTTTACAGTTGCTAGCTAACATAAAAAAGCTGGAACGATTCTAATTACCCCATTGTAGCTTCAAAGGAGATTCACTAAACCCACCTTTGTGTTGCAAGTACAAAAAAACCCCAGCTGATATAAATATTATACTACAGTACACGCTCAACCAACCTCAAATGCCCAAGGAAAAGCATGGGACTCCGGTGTAACAGGGCAGCTCTGTGCCCTGGGTAGGGACAGCTGCCAGCAACAGTGGTGCAGCCTGTCATCAACTGCAGCAGCAGCTATTTTTGCATCTTCCATCCTGCTAAGGTGGTAACCAGGGCTGCTGCCCCGGTTCCCCACCTCCTTCACACTACTGATGTTACTTGTATTGCCACCAGAAAGTAAAGAATATCTGGCTATTTGAAAACACAGTGGGGAGAACAGAACAGAGTTCAGAAACAACATTCATAACTCCATTTATGATTTGTCATTTTGAATGAACAAAGATAATGAGAAATTGTCACTAATAACCACCACTAATAATGTGATCTTAGCAGAGCTCTGAGCTTCTCTCTCAAGCTCCCCAGGTATAAGGAGACAGAGCTGTGAAATCATGACATTAAAAATCCAGCATTTTAGAGTATTTTTCAATTTTCTTTTTGTTTTGAGAGGCAAAGAGATAAAGAAATCAAACTGCTTGTGCCAAAAAAAAAAAAAAGGAAAAAGATGGCTTAGTTTAATGATTTGGGGCCTGTTAATGGCTGCAATTTCCCAATATCCTTAATGAGCTGAAAGCCATAGGTGTTTTTTGGAAATTAAAGTTATCATCTATCTCCCCATAGAGTCTTTACAGACAGAAAGTACTAAAGATGGCCACTATCCTCCATTGTTACCAAACAAAACTACTATAATTGATACTTATATTATTCTCTGTTAGAGCTTGGATGGAAAATGCTCTGTTTGCAGAATATAAACTAATTTTTTTTTAAATGACAAGAATTACCAAACCAAATGATAATCCTTAAACTGGCAAATTGCAGAAATCTTACCTCTTACCAGTAGGTATATCTAATGATACTAACACACATTAATATATATTCATATGATAGTAACATATATTCACACAGCATTTTAAAAATCTATTTACATGTTATTAAGGAATCTAAGACAGGTGAAGTACTGGCTTTCTGCCTATTAATTTATCACCTATATTCAAGTCTGGAAAATACAATGGTCCTGTGCAAGTGAATGTATGGAGCAGAAGCACAGTATTAATTGGGAAGTCTGAAAACCTCCATTTTCTGTTCAAAGGTAATCAAGCTTACTTATTTTATGGCAAAACATGACTATGAAGCACTACTTTCTTTAAGTTTATATATCTAAAGCAGCATCACAACATATGTACCATTTAGCCTCCTCTGAATTGCTTCTTCCTCTAAGGTGATGATATATATCTCTTCATCCAGGTCTTCAAGGATCTGTGTTTAGAAACATAAATACCAACTGATAAACATTCATTTGTGCATCTTGTTTGGCTAAATTTTTGGTTCCACCTCAAAACTTCCTTTCTTAAGAAAGTCCATACATTACTAGTATCCCAAGAACATTGTGTAAAACAGTACTTGATTCATACATATGGTCAATGAGACACATGAATGGTCACTATTTATATGAATGAATTGTTCTGATTTTTTTTTTTTGTGAACATGCATTGATTTTTGCTAGACTGGGCCAAAAAATCATGACACTGGTTTTGAAATAGTTTTGTAATACAGTATCTCAAACATTTCTAGAAAGAAATGCATCTAGACAGCTATTTATAACATTTTTTACTGTCAAGAGACTGTCAAGAGTCCAGAAATACATAGTACTTACTGTTGGCTTCACCAGCAACTGGCCCATCACCGTAAACATCCGTGAAAGCCCCACTGGTGTGCATACTGGGGAATAAAAAGGATAGAAAATATGGTGACGCTATATTCAAATCCTGAACATACTATTTTATATGCATATGACTCTTGAAAGTAGATATGGTTGATCAGAACTCTGGAGTAACAGAAAAATGAACTGAGCTTCTTTTTAAAAATCTAATGTCATTAAATAGTACTTTACAATAAACATTAAAAATCTCACTCTGCATATTATACAGTTAAAGAGATTGTGGAGTTGAACATTTCTGCACTCTCATCCTCCTCCAACTGCAACACTGCCAAAATTATTGGTTGTATTTATAACCTGGAGGGCAGCTGAAGCTTATGACAGTTTTTGTAGGAAGGGCATCTCTCCCCTCCTGATAAATGGCAAAAGAACTTAGCCCAAATTTCATTCTTGTTTGGACTATCACTAGGATCTAAAATGAGAGGGTAAAACAGGCTCCAGAGACACCTGCAGGGATGGAAAATGATGGGCTACAGGTAGTTACATGGCTGGACATCAAGACCAGCCAGCAGCCAAGCCCAGTCAAAAAACCCAAAATCCATGTTTTTCCACGAGTAAAAGGAAACCTGGGTGTGTCAGCTGAACAAACTTTTATTGATGTATTTACAATATTAAAGCAATTTGGAAACCTACCAGTGCTTCAATCATCACAATACAATAAATTCTACATACCTATATATTTTGACATTTAATTTTGGTTTATCATGGAAAATCAGAGCTCCCCCTTCCCCCTTCACTCCCCAGGATGTGGGTCTAGCTGTAGCTGTCCCCGCTGCCGCTTTGTGGAGCTGAGCAGCCCTAATACGCTGATGTTCTGCCCCTGCCCAACCTGCTGTCCCTCACTCCCAACCCACAGCCCCCTCTACTTTCCCCAGCCCTGCTGGTGCCCCTCACTCTTGACCTGCAGACCTCTGGCCCTGCTGCTGTCCTTCACTCCTGACCCACAGTCCTCTGCCACCCCCCCAGCCCTGCTGCGGCCCCTCACCCCCCAAACACATCCCCCACCCCTAGGCCCCAGCTCCCCCAGTGTGTGGGGAAGGGGGTGGGTGTGTGGAGAAGGTAGGGTGTGGGCACAGGTAACACCTTAAGTGATACATCAGGGGAGAATGGAGGGGGGCAGAGAGCAGCATGCCCCTCCGGAGTTCTGTGCCCACAGCAGAGCACAGGGCTGCAGCCTGGCTGGACCAGCACCAGGCAGGAGCTGCCTCCACAGCCAATCAAGCAAGACCCAGCACAGGAAGAAGCACCACACTGCCACTGCAGCCAAGGTGAGGCGCCTCCTGCCTGCCTGGCAGCAGCAGGGTGACAACTCCACGCCACTATGGTCATCAAGGTGAGGTGCCATGGCAGCGCAGAGTTGTGCCCTCCCTTTCCACTGTTGCCAGGTGGGCAGAGTGCCTCACCTTGGTGGCCATGTTGGTCAGATCCTACCTGCCAGCCCACAGAAGCAGCTCCTGCCTAGTAATGATTCAGCCAGGCTGCATCCCCATGCCCCACCGTGGACACAAATCTGTGGGGGCACATGCCCCCCATATCCCTGCGACATGTCGCCACGGCTCCCCCCCCTCCACTCCCAGTGACACCTTTTCCCCACAGGGAGCTGCAGGACCTGCTCTCCGCTGCACTGACTGGGTGTAGTGCCAGCCACATGCATGTGCATATGTGCACATACACGACACTCTGCCTTATTGCCCTCCTCCTGCTCCCCACCAGCCCCAAGCAGTCCATTGGATCATGTAAGGATCCTTAGGATCATTTAAGGAAACATGTTGATTCTTGAAACTTTAGACATTAGATTAACCTACTACTATAAAGAGTTAAAGTAGAAAAGTGTAAGAGTGATGTAGATGTAGATGTGATGGTTCAGAAACTGCATGAGAGGCAAGGACTTACTAAGGTTGTATTTTTTTTATTGGATCAACCAAGTGTATACTCATCTTTTACTATATTGTGCTTGTTCTGGTCAGACCTCATGAAGAATGTCTTGACTATGAAAACTTGTCTAACTATCTCAACTATACAGTTGGTCCAATAACAGATATCACTCTAAGAAATCCTTTCCTCTCACATTAAAGTAGAAAAAAGCATTTGAGAAAGCGTCACAGTAACTCTAATTCATTCTTCTTTCATGTTCAAGTTATACCTACTGAACTATCACTCATGAATTAAAATATTACTTTTCTTCTAAAAGAGTCACAGAAATACTTACAAAGAAGTAATAAACAGCCCATCAGTGATATACAGGAATATAAATAAGGGAGGTAGAATTCCCAAAGATCTGTAAGGAAAATTAGCACAGCTTTAGACTCTTAAATCTTAGATGTTATGCTTTATTTGAATTGCTTAAACTAACAAATAGTAAAAATGGGAAGTTTACACCAGTCCCACACAAAATAAATTATGCTGTTTCATTATGCCATTCTTTCTTCCAAGATTAAACAATAATATTTTATAAATGAAACAAAGGATTAGACAGTTTATGAAATCCTTGATGCTTTGCGGGGGGAAAAAAACCCTTTTTAAGTAGCTTTGACAGTATTTAAAACTTGCTCTAACGTTAAATACGCAAGACACTGTCCACAAGACTACTGAATTTCTTCAATATACTGAAGACATTTACAAACACTAGCTGAATGCAAAAAATGAGGTACTGGTCAAACAAATGCAATCCCTTCTCATCCCTTTCCCCTCCACCCAGTAAAAAGGAGCAGTACAGAGATTTACTATAAATGTATTTTAATTGCAAACATCCAGTTCGACAATATAAACTGCAAAACTGCTTTTTTTTAAAAGTCCATACCGTATAAAGATTCCATACTGGCAGCATCATTGTCAATGAGAGCTGAAGCTACCCAAACTATTCCAAGGATAAGCAGTGCAAGAAGAATAAGCATAACAACTGTTTCCAAAATGCGTGCTTGGATTCCCTAGAGAAAATTAAACAGATTTTCATTTTAAATAGAAAGCTTCTGACACTAAGCAAATTAAATTAAATAACTCCATTTGTATATGTATATATTAAGAGCATGTGAGAGATGCATTTCTTTCCTTTTTACACCCAAAGGAAAAAGCAAGTTCTTATGGCTTTATAATGCCAGGACTGGCCCCCTTCTCCCTAAAACCACAGAAAACTGTTTAAAATTACTTCAGCTTAACAGTTTACACCACTCTCGTTTTCCATAAAAAAAATCTTTATACCTTATGATTTTCCTAGGACATTTTAAAAAGATAAATTACGTTTCTAATACTTTCAGCTGAGAAAGTGGATTAGCAAATTTTTATCTGTGATTCCAATCAAGGGAATGGAAAGCCAATTATGGCAAATAGCCAAATAGCCCCGCCAACATTAAACCCTGCATAGGTACAATGCACCAATTTACTTAAAACAGTCTTCAACTGTAATTGCTTCTGCATCATTCCTCACAGTCTACAGAGCCCTCAAGTGTACGCCTGGAGTATTGCTCATTCTTAGTCTGGCCACATCTTGCTGCCGCAGTCACATCAATTACATCATACTTCTTAAGTGCTCTACAACTGATGAGACACTGCTCACAGGATACACACAGATTACACATACATAAAAATCTTTCTAAAACATGTTTGCATATACTGTAAAGTGTGAAAGCCTATACTAATGCAATGTTAAATTCAGAGAACATTTGTATTACTAATTAGACTAAGAATTAGTATTACTATGACAACCTAACCTTTTTCTTGTCACCCTTAACATTAAACTTGAATATTCATTAACATTTTTGTATTTCATTTTCTCATTTGCTAAATTGCTCTCCTTCAAGGATTTTCAGTACAGGTCCCTTCTTCCCCAACCCCAGCATGGTCAGAATTTGTCAGAGGGTTTTTGGTTTACATTGCCTTTACAGGCATACACCTGCACTGAAAGCCTACTTGAAACCCTCAAGTTGCAAAGTGGAAAATTTCTTCCCCCTTTATTTTGTCTCTTCTGTCCTTAGAACATCCCCCTCACCCTTACTGCCCTCTTGTCTAAGCAATCATTAGATGACAGTCTGCCAGAAAATCAAGTTCCCACAGGATCTTGGTATCTATCCAAGAATGAAGGGAGAAAGGTCTTAGAAGTCTTAAACATCTGTACTTGGCTGATGCAGCACAGACTGCAGTCTCTAAACAGCTCCTCTCCTGCTGGTCTGGACTTGCTGAAGTAAGCGAAGAGGACAAAGAATCAAAAGACCTTTTCAACCCCCTGGTTAGAGATCAGGCGAGAAGATTAAGCCAAGGTACCAAATCTCTCCCACCACTTTGCCCAAGTTTCTAATTAAAGTTATTAAGGACACAATGCAGAATTCTCCTCAGTCAGTATTTCATTCATGTGGGATAGGCCTTAAACATTGATAAAAATCTTAACATTTCCTACTATTAATGATCAGAACCTAATTTTTGTTCTCCCATAACTCTGATTATTATAGCTGGATAACCTGCATTTTACCAAGTAGTCTAGGAATGCAAAGCAGTGTTTCTTGAAGACAGAGAGGACCTTTTGAGCCCCTCTTAAAACCTCACGAATAGAAGGAATGAACAGACCCAAGATTTCTGTCTTCACAAGACATAGGCAACAGTTTTCCTCTCTACTATTCATTCTCTGAAGAAGCAGGTATGGTCTTCTTCAACCACCAAGTGTCCTGAGAATAGATTCTTCTTGGAACTCATGAAATAGGTCTAATTTTGAGAGGCATGGAGAAGACTAACTAGTATGGCACCTCATAGACTGTTTCTCCTTCAAATTCAAAGATAATCATAACATCACTGATTGGTTTGGTTTTTGTGAACACATGAACGACTGATCAGGCCAATTTGTGCCTTGAACTGTCTATGGCACACGGAGCAAGAGATGCCACTTTGGGCACCTTATAGACTAACTTGTGAAGAGAAGCATGAGCTTTCATAGGCTACAGCCTACCTTATCAGATGCTACCATGTGGAGGTTGCTACAGAACAGCATACAGCAGTCATTTTTTCTTTCCAAAATGGATTTCTTAACATTTACTGAAGTTTAGTTGATGGACTTTGAAAAGTCTAAGTAAAATTAGGTCATTGATTACCGCACACTGAATAAAACTAGAACTAGACAAAGTGACTGTGGATAGTGCTGCAAGGCAGCCATAAAATTTGGTCAGATTTAAATTGACCCTCAATTGAAGATATTCATTTTTCACTTGTGAAGGGTATTAGGCAAATATCTTATGCAGGATCCCTTGCTTTCTTTGTTAAAAATTCCAACATTCTCTGATACTTCCACAATCAAAATGAAATGCCAGTATGTGTGTGCATGCCTGCATATGTGGCTTGTACCAGGTTAGAATCCCTTAGCAATAGTATTTGGGCACAGGAATCTTCTTTCATCTGCATCTGTCCAGGAGATTGTAGTCTTTTTTCTGGATCTCACACAAGTTATTGGCTCCATCTTCAAAAACTAATTCCTCACCTTCTCACATCCTATTGATACCTGCTTCAGAATTAAAAACTGAGCTGCCTGCCTGATGAGACTCACATACCAACAACTCTCTTACTTGTATTTCAAGGTATTCTGGGTAATTCTTAAACATCGTAACAATTGATCAATATTGCCAGAGTATTTTGTTGAGCTCATGGATCATGCCCATCTTTTGATGCACTGTCATCAAAACGGTTCTATTATAAAGTAATGTTAACTTTATTATGAGCATCTTCAAAAATAGCATTCATACAGACAGGAGGGAATTTACAAATATATCAGAAGTTATTTTGGATAAGTAGGGAATTACTTGTGGTTCAAAACTGATGATGCTAGTGAAAAATACATTGAAGAACTTAAAGGAAGTACTGGATACATATTCATTACAGAAAGACTATTTTGATAAAGAACAAAGCTTTGTGGTAGAAACTGCAGTTAGATTAGAAGCAATACTGGCTCTTAGATAGTTATAAGATGCTTCAAATCACCTATTAAGCATTATTGTATGATCACCTGTCCTTGTCCATGGTCATTAAGCATTTCTCACGGACTTTTCAAGCCACAGCACTGCAAATATCTTATGCAAGGATCCTGTTTTTCTACGTTAAAAATTTCAAAATCATCTGATTAAAAGGCCCCAAATTCACATATTTCCACGATTAAAATGATGCTCTGTGTGTGCATATATGTGCATGTATGTATCAAGTATCAGTTGAACATAATGCTTTACTGATATAGTTACAATTTTAAAGCAATTCAGAAGATTATCAGTGCCTCAAGCATTATAATAAAATAAATTCTAAATACCTATATAGTTTGGCTTTTGATTTTGTTGTGGGGGTTTTTATCATGCAAAATCCCCCTGCCCCCATCACTCACCTGAATGAATGCGGATCCAGCTGCAGCTGTCCCCCCTGCTGCTTTGTTGTGCTGAGCAGCTCTGGTTTGCTGGTGCCCCTCACTCCCATAGTTCCCCCAGCCCACCTCACCCCAAACCGCAGCCCCTGCCCACCCTCCACTCACTCCCTCCCGGCAGCAGCTCCCCCCTGCACCAGGACACAGGTCCAGCTGCAGCTGCGTTTGACCCCAGTACTCTTTCCTGCCATGGCAGGGGGTCGGACTTGATGATCTGCTCAGGTCCCTTCCGACCCTACTAACTATGAAACTATGTATCATACTACCACAAAATAAACAGTATACATGAACAGTTTTTATCTGATAAAAATCAAATTCACACTTGATAAAATCTAAACCATACAGACATGTCAGACTGAAATAGCTGAAATAAAATAGTTTCTGCTTTCCATGGCAACTTCTCTCTCTACCCTATTTGGTCAAATACTATTTCTGTTTCCAATTTTTGTACCACATATTACCCTGGAACCCTTTAATATTTTTCTAGATCTCCAATGTGATTAGCTAATCATATATGTTACCCCAGTAATGATGCTGCAAGACAACATTACTACTTGTCTTCTCAGAGTATGTCCACTGTAGATTTTTAATCATCCACTATTATAGCTTGTAAAACAGTTAACAGGTTAGGTATTCCTGTTTGTACCCTATTCATTTTTACTTCTTAAAATTGATTTTAATTTTATTTCTTAAAATGTTTAAAATTGTCAACAACTTTTCCTTTCATCCACTTCCATATTTTATCATCCTAAATAAGCATCCTTCACTGCAATAATAGTTGCCATTTTGCATGTTTTAATGCTGCTTATTATAATTAATGATCTCAGCTAAGTTTCATCCTAAAACTAACTATAAGACCATCTTTAATTTTAATGTTCATTCCACTGGACACACATGACTTACAGAGAGAGTGATCTTAAAATACGGGCTAAACATGCACAGTTCACAAGCAAAGTTAATGAATATTAACTCACATCAGGAATCCAAAAATGAGAATGTAATTGCAAATGAAACCATGGGGAAAGGAACAATGATCTAATTTTAACTTACTTGCACTATGTCAAAGGACTTTATCCAAATTATAGAAATCAATTATAATAATGGAATAGACACCAGACAAGATACTGCCTGAATTGCAAATTATAGGAGTCCGAATTACTTCTGGTTTGGGGATCTAATGAAGTTAATGCAAAACCCAAATACTTCTGCAGCATTTAAACACTCATTTACAATGAGTACTCTGTTTTCATGCAAGTATTATATTTAAAATAAAGAGTTAAAACTCATCTGTAAATCCACTGAAGGTTTTTCAGTTTGTAATTACAACTGTGATTCTCACTTCATCAAACATTTTTTGATCTCAGAGTAATCAAAAACTGTACATCTTCAAATAAAACTTCAGGTATACATTTCATTTTCCACAAACCGTATTAATATTTTTTGGATAGAAGTGGTGAAGAAAATATTCAGGCTTTAAAGTTTAAATCATTCCAAAATTCTGATTAAAACACCCCAAATCCATATGATTAATATGAAACATCACTG